GTGCCTGCTTCTGTATTTTGGGGTGCCAGTTCTTCCCGCCGTGACAAAGGGGGTGAGTTCGACGGAATTGTTCGAGGGGGAGAAAGTACTTGGGCAAACAAGGCTCAGGCGAGGTGGGTGCGAGGCCAAGAAGTCAGGCAGCAGCTAGGACCTAGGTGCAAGGCGAATCCATCCGGTTTGGCCATATTGTTGACAGTAATGCTCTTGTGCACGTTAGAATAATGCAGACATAACGAGAAGCGCAGAGGTTGCTTGAATGAATTTCATGCTTAGACCTTAAAACTCAAGCAATGAATGAAACATAAATTTACACAACAACCATCTATATGCATAGACGCTTTGTCCAGTGTGTATGTACGTAAGGCCCAGCGAGCGAGTACCGCGTACACAAAGGCCCCGAGCAGCCGACCACAATGCCCATGGTTCCTGCATATAAGAAATTAGAATGAGAGAGAGAAAAAGATCAATACGGGGCCAGGACGTATCTCCTTCCTGCGGTTTGTTCGTGCCGTCTTCGCTCTCCCCTTTGTCGTCGCCGAGCCGCCCGACGCCGTAAATGTGGCCACCTTCTCACGCCGCGCTCTTGGCCGGTAGGTTTCAACAGACGCTCGGCAGACAGAGACGTTCTTGTGGGGCGTCGCTGTGGAGTCTCGATGTGGGGAGAGGGGCGGGGAAAGGGGGGGGTTGACGGTTTGGTTCGTTGGTTCCAGGTTTTAGTGGGCGAAATGTCCGAGTGCATTGTAATGACTTTTTTTAAAGTATGTATCAGTATGTATAGTAATGTAGTGGTGATACAATGACAAAACTGGTAATAATAATGATATTGATAACACCAGCAGTATGCTACTATGACTACTACTACTACTACTGCTTCTGCTACTACTACTACTACTAAGAAATGATGATGATGATAATGATAATAATAGTAATATCAATGATAATGATAATAATAGTAATATCAATAATAATGATAATAATAGTAATACCAATAATAATGATAATAATAGTAATATCAATAATAATGATAATAATAGTAATGGTAATGGTAATAATAATAAAACAGTGATACTATTATTCAGGAAAAACATCATAATTCAAAAACCAACTCCGTAAAAGTGTATTGTACCCAGCCTTGAGAGAGAGGAAGGACAAACAACGTGGTAGGGTGAGGGAAGGTGGAGAGGGATGGAGAGACGGAGGGGAGGCACCGGAGGAGGGAGGGCACCGGAGGGAGGGAGGGCACCGGAGGGAGGGAGGGAGGGAGGGAGGGGGAGGTGGGTCACGGACACAGATGGGTGGAAAAAGGAGAAGAAGAAACGAGGAGGAAAGAGAGGGAGAGGAGGAGAGAACGTAGAGAGATGGAGAATGAGGAAGGAAGAACGAACACGGGTAAATGAAAGGGTGGAAAGAAGGTACGGACATAGAAGGGTGGGAAAAGGACAGGTGAACGAACAGAGACAGAAGCAAGGAGGGAGGACGAGAGGGTCAAGGACACCGAAAGATGGAGAGAGGGAGGGAGTAAGAACGGACACAAGGGGGTAGAGAGAGGGAGGGAGAGGGGAAAGACACAGAAGGATGGAGAGAGGGAGGGAGTAAGAACGGACACAGGGAGGCAGAGAGAGGGAGGGAGAGAGGGGCAAGGACACAGAAGGAGAGAGGGAGGGAGTAAGAACGGACACAAGGGGGCAGGAGGAGGAGGGAGAAGGGCAAGGACACGGAAAGATGGAGAGAGGGAGGGAGTAAGAACGGACACAAGGGGGCAGAGAGAGGGAGGGAGAGGGGCTGGGAAGGCACGGTCGCCTGATCTCGTTCGCTACATGTTTAAAGTTCTCCTGCTGTACCCACGGCCTGGGGGTAGGAGGCTGGGGGAGGAAAGGCTCCGACAGCGGGGGAGGGAGCGGGGAAGGAAGAGGAGGAAAAGGAGGGAAGAGAGTAAAGGAGGAGGAAGGAGGAGAAATAATAAACAGCGATGAAGGAGAGGAAATGAGGAAGGGAGAGGAGGAAAGGGGGGAAAGGAGAGTAAAGGAGGAGGAAGGAATAGAAATAATAAACAGTTCTAAAGGAGAGGAAAGGAGGAGGGGAGATGAGGAAAGGGGAGCAAGGCAAGGGAGAGTAAAGGAGAATGAAGGACGAGGAATAATGAACAGAGGTGAAGCATAGGACAGAAGAAGGGGAGAGGAGGAAAGGGAGCAAGGCGAGGAGAGTGAAGGAGGAGTAGAGGAAAAGTGATCGGGAGCGAAGGAGGGTGGGGTGGAGAGGAGGAAAATAAAACAAGGCAAGGAGAGTAAAGAAGGAAAAGGGAGCAGGGGCGAAGGAGTGCCAAGAAGGAGGAGAGAAGCGAGAAAGAAAGCAAGGCGAAGGAGAGGAGGAGGAGAACAGCGAACGAAACAGGGAGCAGACTAAGGCGAGATAAAAGGAGAGGCGAAGATAAGAGAAGGAGAACAGCGAACGAAAAAGGGAACAGGCTAAGTCAAGATAAAAGGAGAGGCGAAGATAAGAGGAGGAGGAGGAGGGAGAAGGGGGATCGTGGTCCATAACTGAGTCGAATCCTCTGGCGGCGATACGTGCTAAGGGTGACGGGTGGAGCAAAGTTACTGTTTCATCTTGGGAATAAAACTCCGCAAGTTGTGGGCGGAGAGCAGGCGGAGGGAGAGGGAAGGACGGGACGGGAGATGGAGGGAGAGGGGAGGAGGAGGGGAGAAGGGTGAGATGGGGGAGGGGAAAGGAGGAGGGGAAAGAAGGGGAGAAGAAGGGAAGAGAGGGTAGAAGAAGAAGGGAAGAGGGGAAGGTGAGATGGAAGAAAGGAGAAGAAAGGAAGAGGGCAAGAGAGGGAATAGGGAAAGGTGAAGGGTGAGATGGGGGAAGAAGGGGAAGAGGAGGAAGAGAGGGGAAGAGAGGGAAGAGGCAGAGGAGGGGAGGGGAAGACAGCAAGAGAGGGAGAAAAAGGGGGAAAAGAGAAAAGGGGATAAAGAGGGGAGGGAGGAAGAAGGGCATGCAGGTGGTTGCTGTGACAGAGGGAGATGCAGAGGACAGGATGAGATGGAGAAGCTGGGGGTTATTTTATTGTGGCGATCCTTGCTTACGTGTTGAAATGTCTGTCGTTTTGTTTGTCCGTTTGTTTGTTGGTGTGTTTGTCCGTTTGTTTGTTGGTGTGTTGTTTGTTGTTTGATAGTCTCTGTATCTAGTGGTTTGTTTGTCTGTTTGTATTTGTGCTTGTCTCTGTGTGTGTCTTGCTGTTTATTTGGGTCTGTATGTGTGTGTCTGTGTGTCTGTGTGTGTCTTGTTTGTCTTTCTCTGTATGTGCTTGGATGTTTGTATGTCTGTATTGTATTTGTATATATGGTATATGCGTTTTCTCTCTGTCTGTCTGTCTGTCTTTCATTGTATTGTTCGGCAGTTTGTCTGTCTCTATATGTATCTACTTGTTTTTCTGTCTCTGTACGGCGTTGTTTGTCTGTCACTGTGTGTGTTTTGCTGTTTGTCTGTCTCTCTGTGGAACTGGGCGTTTGTCTGTCTACGTGCCTGGCTATTTGTCCGTGTCTACATGTGTCTGGCTGTTTGTCTCTGTTTGTATCTGGATATTTGTCTGTGTCTACATATATCTGGCCATTTGTCTGTCTGCATTGCAAGAGCCTGTTTGTTTGTCTGATGGTATTCTTATGCGCCAATCTCTTGTGTGTGTGTGTATCGTTATTTATTAGTCTAGCTGTCTTTGTAGTTGTCTGGAGAAAGAGAAAGGGGCAAGAGCGAGTGAAAAGGGGAAATGCAGTAAAATAACATACAAGTAGGAGTGGAGGAAAAGGAGGAACGAGGAAGAGGAAAAGGAAGAGGAGGAGGAAATAGTAGAAGAAGAAGAAAAGGAAGAATGGATGAGAGGAGAGAAACAGTAAAAGTGATTAGTAAGAGAAGATGGTAAAGAGAAGTAAGAGGAGAAGGAGGAGAGGGAGAATAGAAAAAACATATAAAGTGAGGGAGCAAAGAAGAAAGAGAGAGACAAGATTTACAGGCAAGAGATGGAGACGTTAGGAGCCGTAAGGTCGAAAGTACACCAATCATTCTCAGCTCGAATTTACATGGATATCCGGTAAATATGTTACAATACTAAGACTGGAAAATGCATAAGACGGATAGCCAGACATTTGAAAGAGTAGATGAATAAACGTAACAGGAAAGATGGCGAGATAACGTTTTTATTGCCCTTCCTGAAATCCAAATATGCTTATGAATTGCTACGTTGACTTGCATCTGAAAGTCCGTTTCTTAAAGTCGAGTTCTTATCTGAAACTTGTAAAAGCCTGGCTCGGATTCTTGGATAATGGCTCTTGATTATTATTCTTACGTGTGTTTGAGTGAGAGGGAGAGGAGAGAGGAGAGAAGAGAGAGAGTTGAGAGAAGAGGAGAGGAGAGGGAGAGAGAGCGAGAGAGAGAGAGAGAGAGAGAGACGAGTAGAGAGAGAGAGAGAGAGAGAGAGAGAGAGAGAGAGAGAGAGAGCGAGAGAGAGAGAGAGAGAGAGAGGAGAGAGAGAGAGAGAGAGAGAGAGAGAGAGAGAGAGAGAGAGAGAGACAGACAGACAGACAGACAGACAGAAGGAAGCGAGTTGGGTGAGAGTGAAGGGGGAGTGAGAGGGAGGGAGAAAGAAAAGAAGAGAGGCAGAACAGAGAGAGAGAAAGAAAAGAAAGAGAAAGGAGAGGAGAGAAGAAGAAAGAAAGAAGAGAGGGGAAGAGAAGAGAGAGAGAGAGAGAGAGAGAGAGAGAGAGAGAGAGAGAGAGAGAGAGAGAGAGAGGACGGGGTTGGGGTGAGAGAATGGAGGAGTGAGAGGGAGGGAGAGAGAAAAGAAGAGAGACTGGAAGAGACAATCAGAGAAAGCGAGAAAATGAGAGAGAGAGACGACAGACAGATAAGACAGAGAAACAGCGATAGAATGAGTTTGAAAATATATGTCCATCAACAACCAATAAAACAGGGATTCGTAGGGTATGCGATTGCGAAAATGGCAGTACAAAAGGAGGCCTTACAGGTAACTGTTTACACTTGCAGGTGATAGTTACAGGTGTTGAAAGAGAGACATTCAGACATTCTTGATATGATTGAACCATCTTTCACAGTGAAATCTATCGATGAACTCGACACAGATATATTGAGATTTACAAGTACCCTTTGCTTTTGTTTTCACGTTCGGACCTCTTGCTGTATCCATTCTTTCAAGACTTGCATATGACAAGAATAAAGGAAGGAGCGCCATTCAGTGATTGCTTAACTAGTACTCACTTCCGTCGTGCTGAACAGGATAATCGTTATTTTTTTTCGATCCGGACGGGGTCGCCTTTTCCCCTCGCCCCGACGCATCCGCCGGGGCCGTGGAATGGTCGCGGTCGTTAGGCAGCGCCCGTGTCCTCCTCCCCATCCATAAGCAGTGGTACC